TGGTATGATTTATTATTGGATTTGCTTACTCAGGTATTTTATTAAATACTTGTATACTTTTAAATAAAATAAATTAAAATTAAATATAATAAATTTAAAATAAATTACACACACACACACATATATATATATATATATTATATTTATATTTATATATATTATATTTATATTTATATATATTATATATATTATATTTATATTTATATTTATGTATATAGTATTGTTAATCTTTTTTTGTTCTTTTTTCATCTTTAAAGGCTGCAATCGAATGTTATCTTTGTGATTCATATAGCTCGATTGATACTTTATTAGAAATATTTTCATATGGTGATATTGATCCATCAGATTATCATTCTGATAACTCGGAAAGTGATGATGATGAGGATTCTCATTTTGCTGCGATTCGTGCTGATGATTACTTGCTATGGCAACGTACTCCTTATTTGGATGAATTTCGTCAAAAGAAAAAAGCTAGAATGGAAGAGGTTTGTTTCGTTTTTCAAATATATATATTTATTTACAATGTTAATTTTTTTAAATATTTATTTTTTTATTTTTTTTTATCAATATCATATTTTATATCATATTTTATATTATATCATATTTTATATCATATTTTATATTATATCATATTTTATATTATATTATATTATATATTATTATATATTATATCATATTTTATATCATATTTTATATCATATTTTATATCATATTTTATTGTATCAAAATTTTAACTATCGTATATAATATCAAATTTACTTCATTCGATTTGTTAGTTTCTAAATGTCAAAGGAAAACTCGATCAACATTTTGAAAATCTAGCTCAAAAATATTCAATTCATGATTTAGAAATCGAAATGTATAAATATTGTAGCAAAATTAACAGTACTTATATGAAGGTTCCCGAATTAATAACCTTACATGGTGCTTCTACAAATCCTGATTTTCCTGTAGAATTATTTCAAATTCCTGGTAGATATAATGGTGGAATTAATATACCAATGAGTGATGATGATTTAGATGATGATTTAGATGATGATTTAGATGTTAATTTAGGTGATGGCTTGAATCTTCAAATTCCTGATATTCCTGATTCTTGTGATCATTGTGTTGATGCTAATCCTATTAATAACGGCGATATTGAATGTCAAAACAAACGTGGTTTAGAAGATAATGATATTGAACAACTCAAGAAAAGAAAAATTTTATCTTCTTCTTAAGATTTATTTATCTTTTCATTTTGATTTATATATTCTTTCTTTGTTTGTGCATATTCTTTGCGCATTTTCGTGATGTATATTCTTTTCTTGTTGAATATTCTTGGTTATATGTTGTGATCTGACATTGTGTAATATAGATTTTTTTTTTACCTGAACTGGTTTCAGCATGTCAGATGGAAGGTTGGAAATTTTTTTTTGTATATCTTGAATTTATAGACTTTTAATGACTTTTAATTCAATTTATATATCAAACTTTTTTTTTTTTTTCTTTTTTAAAAAATCTTTTACGTAAAATCGAAAAAACCTTTTCAAAGGCGGAACATTCGGACTTGTTAATAATAGCTGGATATTAAAAAATTTTGCATTTTCGATTAACATTTCTTTTTTTTTTTTTTTTTTTTTTTTTTTTTTTTTTTTTTTTTATACCAATCAATAATTTTTTTGTTTCTGGCGGGAGGATTCTCAAAACAAAAAAAGAATAATGTTAAAGAATATTGTAATAAATCAATGAATTTTTTTTTGATATCTTTTTAGAATTAGTTATTTGTTAATTATACAGTAACTCTTTATAACTCTTTAAAGAATTTTTTATATCATCAATTGGTTTTTTTACGTTAAAATAATAAGTTTATACTGTAAATGTTGAGGTGAAGTCGATTAACTGTTACACAAAAGTTTGCCTCAAGTAACATTGGAAAAACAACAAAGCACTCGTCACAACTAGTAAGCCAAGTCAATCTTTAAAAAATTCGCCTTAATCGATTCGAGTTAAAATTATTAATTTTGGCTTTAACTAGTTGGTGCAATTAGTTTTCCCATTTCATCAATGGATTACCGTGATAAACTTGTTATCACGTGAATTTAAGTACGTATTACGACGCGGTGAAATCCTCTACGTAGATCACCTGAGGGTGAAATTCGCTCTTGCATAATTTACAACGCGGGTTTCAGTCCTATTATATTTAGGCACCAATTATATCTCGAAAATCACCTACGACATGTTCCGATCGGGCTTATTCGGGACAAACCAGACCAAAATATCGGATCATATTTACAAACATTTTATTTTTATTAAATTCAAAATTTTATTCAAATGTCTGTTTTTGTTCAAATCGCTCGATCGGGAAATGCCGTAAGATGATTTTCAAGTCAAAAGACCCCCTATTTCATCATATATACTGTTGTGGTATACATCACTTGTCCACAGAAAGACATGTTGACGCCCATTTAATATTGTATACGAATATATGGTTTTCTAAGTATTTATTTATTTATTTTTTTTTACAATGATTTTCTAGTTC